ATCCAGAATAGTAAAAATAGTTGGCACATTTATTTGGGCTCATAGCAATATTTATTTAAATTTCACTAATTTAAACTACCCAACTTTAATGTGCAAATTCTAAAGCTGTACTTCAACTATTAATATTTGAGAAATAATGAAATGTTTTGTTTCTTTTTGGAGGAATAGTGTAACTAACTGCTGTATTTGTGCTTGCAAACGTGTGCTGAAACAGTGTGCAATAGGGTTTTAGTGCACAGAAGTTGAGTGCAGATTAGAACTGCCAGGTTGAATCAGTTAGAATTAGAAGCACAAGGCAGGAGGTCATATGGCCTGTTGTAAGCTTGCCAGATCTCTTATAAGAACAACTCAGTTAGTTCCACTTCCCCACCCTCTCCCCATAGCCTTACAAGTATTTTTTTCTATTCAGGTGCTTATCCAATTCACTACTGAAAGTCACAATTGAGTCTGCTTCTGCCACTTCAATGAAGTGCATACCAGATCCTAACCATTCCCCATGTAGAGAAAAGCTTTCCTCCTGTGGCATCTTATTTTCCTTATATTGTGTGGGTTCTTTTGACAATCCATGATATTATTTTTGGGTTCTCAACCCATTCTGAGTTTTGTCAAGCATAATAATTCTTTTTCAAATCTAATGCTAACTTTTTCTGACCTTTTCTTGCTACTCAATATGCAGTAGTTTCAGGCTTACAGGTAACTGTGCTGATATTTTCCCTTAAGATATTTAATATATTAACCTTCAATTATCTGGATTAATTTGATTTTTGTTTGGAAAAAATGCATAAGTCACCATAGTCTTACGTGACCATAGAGCTGCTTTCTCATTAGAGAGATGATTGATGATGATTTAATCTGAAGGTCACCACACCTCGGTCAAGGGGAAAGGTTGAGAAGGAGAGTCCCTCATGGTAAGCTCAGTCAGTGCAGGAATTGAATCCATGCTGTTGGCTTCACTCTGCATCACAAACCACCCATCCAGCCAACTGAGCTAATCGTCAAGTACTGCACTGGCCCATATGTAGTCATCCTGTAGACAACCACATTAGAAAAATCCTGAAAAATAATTTCTATAGTCTTGACAATTTCATACCTAACCTCCCTCTGGATTCTAATATGAATTCTTTAGGTGCTTTGCCTTTCTTTTTATCTTTCTAATTTATACATTCACTTTGAAAATCTTTCTGTAATTATATTCCTTGTTCTTCAACCTTTCAGGATTTGATTCCTCTCTTCTAATGCAAATTGTTTGACTAATTTTTTTGATTACCATGTTCAAATTCGCAATCTTCTCTTTTTTGGATTCCCAATCACCTTTCTAACATGTCTCATTCTACTGATATCATTGAAAAATTACATTGGTGTTGTTGTCCTACTATCTCTCTGTTTCAATATATTATCCTGCTCTAACCTCTTAATTTAACATAATTTCATTTTGTTTTTTCCATATTGTTCTCATGAATATTTTTAATTGGTTTGCAACCTCATTATCTCTGGCCTCCTAAAAGCTATTTGCAGTTTTTTAATGGTATGTACATGTTCTGTATCTTTGGAATATCTCATCTAAAAGCAATTCCACTGATTCTCTGAATTACTGTGCTAATTTCCTTTTCCACCTCACTACAACTCAACTAGTTCACTTTACGTGTTTTTAAGACAGCTTTATTCCAATGCAGTACAGCTTCTATGCTGACATTTTTGCTTTCTAGTTGTATTTTTAAACCTTAAATTATGGCTACTTCTCTCTGTGATCTTCAACATTTAGCTCCAACATACAAGTTACTTCATGACTCACACCCAGACCTAGAAGCACCTCTGCCCTTTGTCAGCCTGTAAATAGATTGTGGTATTGGTCCAGGACATATTTTAAAATTGCCAATTCATTTTCTGTAGTTCCCATTGTTGTGAAATGGTTAAGTGAGCTCATAGAGTCAAATAGCACGGAAACCAACCCTTTGGTCCAACTCGTCCACGCTGATCCATGTTTCTCAAACTGAACTAGTCCCACTTGCCTGTGCTTGGCCCATATTCCTCTAAACCTTTCCTATTCGTGTACCTGTCAAAACGTCTTTTAAATGTTGTAACTGCACCTGCATCTACCACTTCCTCTAGCAGTTCATTCCTCATGCAAACCACCATCCGTGTGAAAAAGTTGCCCCTCAGGTCCATTTTAATCTTTCTCCTCTCGCCTTAAAAAATGCCCCCGAGTTTTGAATTCTCCCACCCTAGAGGAAAGACCTTTGCTATTCACCTTATCTGTGCCCCTTGTGATTTTATAAACCTCTATAAGATCACCCCTCATGCTCCTATGCTTCAATGAGAAAAGTCACATCCTATCCAGCTTTTCTTTATAATTCCAATTCTCCAGTCCCAGCATCATCTTGGTAAATGTTTTCTGAACCCTCTTTCAAATAATAATATCTTTCTTATAGCAAGGCGACCAGAACTGTACACAGTACTCCAAAAGTGGCCTCGCCAAAGTCGTGTACAACCTCAACATGACCTCCCAACTCCTTTACTCAGTGGTCTGACCAATGAAGGCAAGTATGCCGAATGCCTTCTTAACCACCCTGTGATGCAACTTTCAAAGAGCTATCAACCTGAGCACCCCTCCTGTCTACCTGTGACACAGCTTTCAAAGAACTATCTACCTGAACCCCTAGGCCCCTCTGTTCGACAACATTACTCAAGGCCCTACCATTAATTGCATAAGTCCTGCCCTTATTCGTTTTATCAAAATGCAAAATCCCTTTGTAATCTTGGATAACCTTCCTCACTGACAACTCAACCACCAATTTCATTGTCATCCACAAACTTATTAACCATGCCTCCTAAATTCTCATCCAAATCATTTATATAAATGACAAACAACAATGGACCCAGCACCGTTCCCTGCGGAACATCACTGGTCGCAGGCCTCCAGTCTGAAAAACAACCCTCCACTACCACACTCTGTCTCCTACTGCCAAGCCAATTTTGTATCCAATCAGCAAACTTTCCCTGAATCCCATGTGATCTAACTTTACTAATCAGTAAACCATGCGGAACCTTGTCAAAGGCTATGAAACATCTACTGCTCTGCCATCATGTATCTTTTCAGTCGCTTACTCAGAAAACTCAATCAAATTTGTAAGACATGATTTCTCACGCACAAAACCATGCTGACTATCCCAAATTAGTCTTTCCCTCTCCAAATGCATGTAAATCTTATATCTCAGAATCCCCTCCAACAACTTACCGACCACTGATGTCAGACTCACCAATCTATAGCTCCCAGGCTTCTCCTTAGAGCATTTTTAAAATAAAGACACAACATAAATCCCCTTCCAGTTTTCTGGCACCTCATCTGTGGCTATAGATGGTACAAATATCTCTGCTAAGCACCCTGCAATTTCTTCCCTAGCTTCCCACAATGTCCTGGGATACAATTGATCAGGTCACAGTGATTTATCTACCTTTATGTTTTTTAAAGACCTCCACCACCTCCCCTTCTATAATGTGGAATGTTTTCAAGACATTAATATTTTTAAACCCAAAAATGTAACCCATCAGAGATTGGTAGGGGTAGTAGGAACTGCAAATGCTGGAGAATCCGAGACAACAAGGTGCAG